AACCCTGTTGTGGGTTTAAGTATTCAAATTGAAAACAAACTAATCTGAGTCTGATCTACAATTTAACTCTTCAGAAGCCCAAATCTAAAATTTAGCTTTCATATTAAAATCCACGGTGTTCAATGATGGTGTGTTGGTTTTAGTATTTTAGCAATTTAGTTATTAAGCTTTAACAAAAAATGTCTTTCAGCTTACTGAACATAAGGAGTTCCGAAATGCCTGTGGTCTAGAGTCTCTTTGCCATTGTCCATTATATGAAGAAGCTATGCACTTAGCAGAAGAGGGCAAAATTTATTCCAGAATATTAAGGTATTGATTGATGTATAATAATTAATTTCCAAGAGAAGCAAAGGCATAAGCTAAATACTCTACATCAGTGGTTCCCAACCTTTTTTTATACCATGTACCGGCAAACTGATTCAAAAAATGTTGGCGGACCAGCACTGAAATACTTGCATATTCATCATTGTAATGAATTTATTTGCATATCTTCATATTCATTATGGTAATTTTAAGAGGTCATATGTTACTTTACATTGCATCTAGATGCACGCAATACATGTCATTGTAATGGATATTTTTATTATTTCCCTCCCAACGTATTCGCTTTCCACCTTAAAAAAATCATACACTTAATAATGCATGTGCATGCTGGCTGGGAGCAGTTGGAAGCCAGGGGGAGGTTCCACTAAGCTGGAAGGGAGGAGAAAGGAGTTGCAGGGACAGCCACCCATCACGCGCTGCTGGGACAGTCACCCTCTATATGGCGCTCAGCCCCAGTGGCTGGGGCAGCCACCCTCTATGTGATGCTCTGTCGTAGCAGCTGGGGCAGCCGTTCTTCATGCAGCTCTTGGCCTTGGCTGATCACCGCAGCTGCCCATCATGCAGCCCTGCCAGCCAGGCCATGTAACAGCTGCCAGAGCTGGAACTGGAGCGACAGTGAGGTTGCCCCAGTAGAGAGAGCCTCGCCACAGCCCCAGCTCCAGCCATAGCACACCCAGCTTCCAGCCACACCACTCACCGTACTGCTGCGTGGGGAAGTGGGCGGGCAGAGAATTTTTTTTGTATACACCCAGGTGCGCACGTTCTGGGGACCCCCATCATTAGCAACTGGGGACATGGACTGGCAATGTGCTGAGGCCCAGCAAGCCAGGGTTTGCAGCCCGCCACCAGTCCGCAGACTGGCGGTTGGGAACGCTGCTCTACATAATACTGCATTTAATGCCCTAACCCCAGAGTAATGAATGCTATTTCTTAATAAATCCTAGTCAAATTCTGGTATGCTTCTGTTTTTTAAATGTAGTTTACAACATTTTTTTCCCTTTTATGTAGGACTGAAATGCTGGAGTGTTTAGGAGACAGTGATTTTCTTGCTAAGCTTCACTGTATTCGACAGGCTTTTCAGGTAAATGGTTATCTATGTTATATCCATGCTCTCACTCACACATCCTCTCTGTGTAACTTAAATGTAGAAGAATTAGGCCTAAGCTAAAAGCTTTTGGTCTTACCCTACTTCTGCAGTGATCTACTTTTAGTGAAACAGTTACATTGTCATTGTTGAATGCTGTTTATGAGCAGCATATTATTGTTTCACATTGAGCTCACTGAAGGAATATTTTTTTGAGTACTGTGAACTTTGAGGGTTTTTTCGTTATTTTAAAGCTTCTTGAGTAATGTTTTATCTACTTAACAGTGTTGTTGCATTCAGCCTACAATTGAGCCTACAATTTAAAGGACTTGCTTAAGTAGCTTTCTGAATTGGGGCCAATTTATTAAGACAAAATGAATGGCCTCTTTGACAATGATGTGTATCATTGGATGGGAGCAGTGTTCCCTCTAAGTGCGTGGCAGCACAGCTTCATAGGTGATTAATCAGTCCCACCCAATCCGTCACCTCCACACAGGGAGCCCTGAGCCTCTGACTAGGCAAAGCTGATAAATTGCTTGTGAACCTGTGCAGTTTAGAGGGAACACTGGATGGGAGACACATCTTTTTGAGTGTCCTGGGAATTTTTGCTTCCTGTTATACTTGCATACTGTGTTGATATCCAGCATCTCTTTGTTTCTTTTGACTAAAAGAAACAAATAGCTTTATTTAGTGCAATTCCCTTTATAAATAAGTTGTGAACTTACAGATCTGTATTGCATGGAAAATTTTCCAGGTAATTCTTTCAGAAACAGCTAACAGAATATTTCTTGCTGAGAGCGGAAGAAAAATATTGTCTGCTTTAATTGTGAGAGCTCGAAAGGTAAATTCCTTTTTTTACTGTTATTTTAGTGTAGTCATAGTAATCAAAGTTAATTTGCCTGGTCATAGAGTTAATCATGATTATTCTGTGGGCACATTTAAAAAAAGTGCCTTTTAAGCATTTAGAAGTGAAACAAGTAAGCTTACTAGGAAACATGACTCTTAATTTCACAGAATCCAAAGAAATTTGAAGAGGTCTTTGATGAAATGATACATTTTTTAGAGCAAACAGACCACTGGGCTAATACTGAAATGGAACTTGCTGCCAGGGGGGTAAGTTTGGATTTTTGTAGTGTTGTTTTTCCTTTATTTGACTGTATTACACAATCTGTTTTCATTCTCAAAATTTTTCTTTATTCATAAGTATGGAAAATGCAGCTGCTTTTTTTTATACTTCAGGTGATTTAGAGAAATGTGCTTCCTCTTCTTTTTAAATCTCTGTACCACTGAGTTGCAATGTCAGTTTTTTTCCATTCGAAAAATGCTTTTTAATGTTCGATAAACATTAGAGTTTGGAATGCTGGTTTATGCTCTGTTCCAGCTTTGATAGAGAAGTTATTTTAATCTTGTTTTAACTGACTACAGGTGAAAAATCTAAATTTTTACGACATTGTTCTGGACTTTATATTATTGGATTCCTTTGAAGATTTAGAGAATCCACCCACATCTATACAGAACGTAGTAAACAACCGCTGGCTAAATTCCTCCTTTAAAGAAACTGTGAGTGTTTTTTTAAATTTCTTATGATTCTTATTATTGCAACCAATAGGAAACATAAAATTAGTTTCAACATTCCTTTCTAAAACTTTAAATAGGCATACTCTTGGGATTAGGTACCTATTTTACTCGTAAAGATTAGGATAACAGCATCTGTAGCATCTGAATTCATCCTTTTTATCCATGGGTTACAAACAAGATAAGATTCGTCATATTAGCCTACAAGTGGATTCTACTCTGATCTAGGGAGATTTTTCTCTTTATGTCAAAGGTAATTCCATTTCCATCCATAGTTCAGTCCTAAAATACTCCTGAGGAAAATCTACTACAAGGTGTCAGCTTTGCAAAATCTTAATTTAAAATGTATCAAACTTACTTGCCAACCTTTTGCCATAATAATCAATTATAACGGAATAAATGTTGTACTCACTTGGCATAAATAATTATTTTCCTTGGTGAGTAGACTTTTACAAGGCTGCTGTATATGTTCGCCACATTTGAAAGAAGGCTACTGATTTATGGGGGAAATGTATTTGTTCATATCCCAGAATTGTACTGGTCAGGTATGGAAAAGTAACAGAAATTATAAAAATATACAAAGACTCAAACTTCCATAACATTTTCAGAAACCTGTTTTAGGTTTTCTCATAGGTACATTGGCCTGTTTTGCTTGCTAGAAAATGTTCATAATAATAACCAGGCTTCTCCATACATGTTTGAAGGAAGGCATTGTGGTATGACCAATTGTTCATAGATAGTGTTGCTGTCATTGCATCTATTTAGAACTATAAACTGCTGGCTTTCCTTTTTTATTTTTTTATCTTTCAACTATTTCTTCTACAGAAAAAAAGGTAAGCCACATATTTTTTGTAACGTATGTGGTAAAGTTGTGTTTTTGTGAGTAGCAAGTTTCCACGTGGTATTGAAGTTAGCATCACATTCCATCAGAATTCTGTTATGTGCTGTGGCGAATAGGAGCCTAGTTTTGCCATCAGTATGTTATATTGCTCAGATCCATATTTGGACAAAACTCCATAGCTGTATGCACAACTATTTCAAGTATGCTCTTTCTTAAAGTGAAAAAGGCCATTACCATGTGTTCATATGCTGCTACTTAAAATCTGAAATAGTTACGGTTTTGGGATACACACATTTTGGAACACAACATACTGGGTATCAGCGAGGCTGAATTTAAGAGTTGCTAAAGTTATATTGTGAAAAACAGTTGGGGGCTTCGTAAGTCAAATACCATTTGACGCTAATGCAAAATGGGAACTTGCTGGGAAATAACACACAATTTCATTTTTTTATTTAAACATAAGAAACATGATCTGATAGTAAAAGGAGCTGTTCACAACAGATAACATTTTATGTTTGAACTTATAGTGTCACTGCATTAAAATTAAAGAAATAAATAACTGGTCATCAAATGCAAGATCATATAACATACTTTTTTTTTAAATAGTCAGTTTCCTTGTGTAGAAGTTTCATAAATAATTTCTTCTTGTATTTAGGCTGTGGCTTCAAGCTGTTGGTCAGTACTGAAGCAAAAAAGGCAGCAAATTAAGGTAAATTGTCTTGATATATAATCTGAAATCTGATGAGTTTTATAATTCAGAGAGTCTGACCAAACTTGAGTAATCAACTGCTAGAGTTGTAGGAGTTTAAAGTCATGGTATATATCACCACAAAATTAAATTACCAAGTCCTGATCCTACAGATGCGTATAAGTGTACATGCATAAAGTCTACCATATCTATTAATGTGGCTGCATAGAAGATAAGATTACAACTCATGTGAGTAACTTTATACCTGTTCTTAAGGGCTTGCTGGGCCTGGTCTGTACTTCAGAATTATAAGAAGCTTAAATCAACTTAACTTTTAGTGTCCAAACTAAAGCTTTGCTTCCACTCATGTAAGTAACCTTCTTCACCAAAATAATAATTCCACCTCTGCGAAAGGCATAGCACTTACGTTAGTTGAGATGATCACCACCCTGCATTCCCCAGGCAAATGCCCAATGTGGATTACTTACATAGGCTGCTGGCCTGTCACCCTGGGGAGGTGTGGCAGCTCCAACTAGAGCCCAGCTGCATCCCGGGATTTGAGCTGCACGGACTCCTTGGCTCCTCACCAAGAACCTGACTGCCCCTGCTCAACTCTCTGCTGGCTGCCAGACTCTACCTCCCTCTCTCCCCTCTCCCCGCCCCGCCCTTGGGCTCATGGTGGGAGCCAAAAGCCTGGGAGTGTGGGGACTTGAGAGCTGGGGAGATTGGTAGCTGAGCTTTTGGTGAGGAGCTGCTCACGGAGCTGAGAGCCTGAACTCTCAGTCCCCCACACTGTTCTTCTTAAGTCGGTGGAAGCGCTCCTGGTGAGGATGCCCATCACTGACAGAAGGAGGGTAGTGTGGACAAACACCACCACAGTAATTACTGCAGTGGCTATAAGTTCACCTAACATAGGTCTACTGAAGTTTTTATTGTAGATATGCCCTGAGGCTTGAAGACACTCTTGCAAGGGAGGCAAAATGTTTTAGTGAATAGAACACAGAATCTGGAGTTAAGATCTGGCTCTAGTCTTATCTAGATATAAGCACTTACGTGGACCACCATTACTGTAATATCTAAACGTGAAGGCATTCAATGTGTTTATCCTCACAGCATTCCTGTGTGAGGTACGGAGGTATCACGGTCTCCAAATTTAACATATGGGGAGTTGAAACCTAGAGACTAAGTGACTTGTCCACTGTTATTCAAGAAGTCTGTAATGAAGTAAAACATGTAACTGGAGTTGTCCTGAATCTTAGCTAGCACTCTGAGTGTCCTTTCTCTGCCACTGACTTCTGATCTCAGGTAAATCACATCGATCATTTTAAATAAATCTTCAGATAGTTACTTTCATTTCTAATTATACACTTTGTTAAAGATCATTTACAAATTATACTGTCTGAACTGGTGATGGGAATCTTGATTTATGACATCACTATATCAATGTAGGTGGTCCTTGAGTGGTTGCAGATATGTGCCACTTATGGGTTCTGCAAATATTTCTGCACATCTAAGTAAGGCGTTTGTGCTCTGTAGTTAGCCCCTCATTGCATTATTTAAGAATAGCACACCCCAATCCTCCTCAGTTTCTTCTCACCACTTACAACTAGAGTTGATTCATTCTGTGTAGAGATTTACCTCATTTTTCCCCTCAGTTTTGATGGGAATTTATTATATATAGTTAATTGCTAGTTATTGTAACTTAGTAGGACTTTTCAATTTAGTTTCAGTTGTTAGGATAGATAGGTGCCTGGGTTTAAACATTGTCGTGTTGATTAGGTATTCCCAGTAGTCACCTCTTAGTGGCAAGGAGCTCATTAAGGAAAGGTGCTCTATATGTAAGTAGTTTAAGAAGAGGCCTTAGATGGTGAGAGACTTACATCTGAAATAGCAGCTCTTAGAACAAGCCAGGAGGCCCACTTTACCACTGGAAGTCTCTTCAAATTGTCTGCCTTATGTTCTCCTTTTAGAGTCTATCTGAAATGTGCTTTCTGACTGAAGATCTGGTGCTCCCTCCAGCAGGAAGAGAGTGTTCTCTCCTTCCTAGAGTCCTCTGAGGAAGAGGTCCCATAAGTTTCTTTCTAGGGCTTGTGAGGGACTCCTCTTCAATGTCTAGGAGGAGTGCTGACTTGCACTGCGAGTTCTGTGAGATGCATGATGGAGCTGGCCCATCTAACCATTCCTTGGTATCATGACAAGATCATTTGTACTTGTTAGAGAAGAAACAGGCGACCCAGGCACGGATGGGGTAAACAGAACTGCTTTATGGCTCACGCACATTAACTTCAGACCCCAACACATTGCCAAGTGGCAACAATTACACCGTTTTATCTATTTTAGTATGTTAATTCACATGTTTATCATTACTTTCCCTAAAACCTTATTTGGTATGTTAACTCCCATACAATGAATATTAACAGGCAGGTGATGAATATTATTATACCCTCCCCTAATTACTATTTACAAAATTTCTAATTAAATCAACACTTTTCTGTGCTACAAACTTTCCGAATCAGCAGGTTACAGAGATGATAAGAAAAGTAACCCTGAAATATTTTATACAGAGCCAGTGAGGGTAAGTAAAAGACACAACAAAGAAGAGTAGCTGCATGCTTCTCTATCTTTTTAAAATGCAAAAACGCATCAGAAAGGATAATACCTGCTTTGGCCAGACTCTTAATCTGTCTTTCCAGACTGCAGAAACAAAGGGAAAAATACATGTTTAAAGGCAATGCCTATTATGGCTGATCTCTTACCACTCTTATCTCAGACCCCTATTAATTTTTACATATCCGAGTAGTACTCTGTACTGTTGAATATGGCCATTGAGCTTCTGTTGAATTTGATTCCTATCACAGCAGCATTGGCATCAACTATTTCCATGCCATTGTCGTACTGGATGACATCTGACCTGCTCTGTTTTTCCATTCCTGATTTCCCTATAGTTCAGGAGCTGTCAGTTGTGTCTTTTACATCATCATCTTCTGCTGCACCACTGGTGGTGTCTGTTCAGGTCATATATCTGTCTTACTCAGTGGTGCTGCATTGCATGCTGTCTTGGTCTCAGACTGCAGTGTCACAGCCAACATCTTTTGTGGTACCAAAAAATTCATCAGCACAGATGCTTTGTTTGGCAGTAATGTCTGTACTATGGACCACATCATTGGATTTAGTCTGACATTGGTTTTGGCACCATCATTTCCTCAAGTGCTGACTACAGGGTGATGCTTCTCCTGATACTAATAGCGACAATCACACATGTATCTTCTGGGTCCAATTTCAACCAGCCAATTCTCATCATCCTCCAGCATCAAGCAAGCATCCATTTTGAATTGCATTTCCAGAGCAGTGTGGTGACCTTTCCATCTCAACCTTCTTGGTTCAGAGAGAGTCTGTCTTGCTTTTACAGTGCTTATGATATGGTTGCAGTGGATAAACAGACCTAAGCACCACTGTTCCCTCTAAGCTGCGTGGCTGCACAGTTCCGTAGCTGCTTAATGAGTCTCGCCCAACCAGGGGCTTGGGACTCTCACACTGAGATGCCTGGCTGGATGAGGAGCATTTCTCCCTCAGGGACAGCAGCAGCTCCCTGCTGAGGATAGAGCTTCAAGTTTCTCTCCCAGACAGTAGGGAGAGGACCTGCTATTATTCAGAATTCTTCTACAAAGGAGTTTTATCACCCCATTACAGCGGGAGACAGCTAAACTGGAGTTTATTTACAAATCTGACACTATCAACTCGGGCTTGAATAAAGTTAGTAACTGGTTAATGCACTACAAAGGCAATTTCCCCTGCTTTTGATATTCGCATTTCTAAATCAAATTATATGAATGGAACACATCCAGCCTGACTTAATTAGTTTCATTAACACCAGTCCCACAATTGACAGACCACTGCTTTTCCTGTTCTATATATACCCTAGATTCTGTAATTTCCATTCCAGCTCATCTGATGAGAAGTGGGTTTTACTCTCAAACTCATGATCAAATATATTTGTTAGTTTCTAAGGTGCCACAGAACTGCTCAGTGTAATTTAAATGAGTAGCTTGGCTAGTTACCGGAAACCTACAAAATGCTTTAATTTGATGTAATGGAGATTCATACTGAGAAAAAATAACTCGTTTCTTTACTACTTAAATCACCAGGTGCCTGAGGGTTTTTTTGCCCACTTCTATGCCATTTGTGAGCATATCAGTCCTGTTTTGGCATGGGGCTTTTTGGGACCTAGAAACTCTCTTTATGATTTATGCTGTTTCTTTAAGGTATGCAACCTTTTTGTAATTATCATTTATATAACACAAAAAAGCATCTGTCAGATGATCAGATGGCAGGATCTTAGTGACACCATTAAGATTAAAATAATTTATACAAAAAATGTTGTGCTAGTTAGTCCATGGTAACCCTGCTAATTCAGAGATTAATGTTTATGTATAAAAAAGAAGAAATATTAATTTTTTTTTTTTTTTTTTTTTTTTTTACAAAACTCTATACATTTTTATAACTAAACAAAGATTTTCCTTTTTTATCCACTAGGATCAAATTCTTTACTTCCTCAAAGACATTTTTGACTTTGAAAAGGTGCGTTACTCAACTATGGAGAGTTTAGCTGAAGATCTTATGCAACTTCTGATTCGTCGCACTGAACTTTTAATTGCCTACCTTGGAGCTGATTCACTAAGACATGTCAGTGGGTGTATAAGTGGTCATGAGCACATCATGGCCAATGGGCTTTTAGAAGAAAAAGTACAATAAGCTAAAAAAAAACTACTAAATTGAGTGCACCTTGACTTTTTCCCCCTCCAATGCTATTATTGCTGATTTTTAGCAAACATCTGCAAATGTACTATGTTGCTAAATCTGGAAGGGACTCAGGGAGATTAAAAAATACATTTAGGAAAATAATTGGTGAGCATATTACTATATGTACATAAATTAAAAATCATAGCTCAGATATCTCTGTATTTATGTATGCTGTACCGCCAATATTTTTTCTTCATTATTTGGGTAAATTTTATTTATGAAATACTTTACATTTGCCACAGATATTATGTGAGATGTGGTATATAAACTTATTAGATGAATTTATCTTTAAGCCTTACTATATGAAATGTTCAGTACATACTCTGCAGTGTGCTTTATATCTAGAAAGTGTTACAGTCAAGATAGACACATCTTTCAATGTATGTGACATTACTGCAAAAAAAAAAAAAAAAAAAAAAAACACTTTCGCTGACAAAATATTTAACTACATCCTGAAATTGTGTTTGTGTATGTAAGCAGTCATTTTATACTGAAACATAATAGGCTAATGTAGTAAATGCAGTCACCATTTGGGCAGGTGAAATTTACATGAAAAATTCAATGTTAATTGGTGTGGACTTAAAATATGTAAATACATCATCACCTGAGGTTGACATTGGAAATCGCTAGTCGGAGATCACTGTTTGGTGTATTCTAAAAGTAATGATGGTTTTTTCAAGTTAATTGAGTGGTTTAAATCTCATCTTTCTAGGCTTTTAAAATTATACTGTGCTTATGAATAAATAAGCTAGTATCATTCCTGGTTGATATGTAGCTTTTTAACTATTTTAAAGTAAGGATGTATGATAAAACCTAAGAAGACATGTTGTTTCTCAATTAAATCTGTCTTTTCTTTCAAAAAGCCAACCTTAAGTTTGTGAGAGGATTTTATATTTGAGTTATGGTAAGCATATTTGTCAGCACAAAAAAAACATGCTCAGTGTAAGTAATCTTTTGTGTAGTATTGTCTTGAATTTCAGAATTAAAAGTTTCAGAGGAAAACTTTTTTGTGGGCATCCCTTTGAGAAAGCTATGAAGACCTTTTTTATGGTACTTTATAAGATTAGAGTGTTTCAACACCTGAGTAATACACATCATGAATAACTTTTTAGCTTTTAATATAACATTTTAGATTACAGAGATCCAGGTTCTGATGCTTTGGTGCCAAAGCTGAAAGTGTTAAGTTTAACATTGCATTATAGTCCAAAAACAAAAGTAGAAGAGTTGAATAAGATTTATTTTTTACTGAATCTGCATTTAACAATATAGAATAACCTGTAGCATCTTACTGTGCTGGCACCAGCATTTATGACTTCTTGACAGTAATTGCTAATGCAAACTACAAGCACTATTGTCATGATATGCTGAAGATTGTAAGTGGTTTAGTGTAGCTACTGTATTTATGCTGCACTTTCTGGCTTAGATCTTTAGCTGTGGACAAAATGTGCATTATGCTCCTTTGGTCCCATATAGCATATATTAGAGCAGCTTTTAGATTGCTTAAACTTGTGCTGACTGCCAACTGCCATACAGTCCAGTTACAGTAGCTAAAGATTACCAGGGTACAGGGATCTTAGCTGTAGCCAAGTCCATTTTCCCTGGCCACATTCCTTACACTAGCAGTCAGGAGTAAAGATGGTGAAGGATCATGTCTAATGTCAAACTGAAGTGCTCTTTCCATGATTGGCCTCCCTAGCTTTTAGGCTGCTTTTGAACTGCTTTTACAGCATCAGTGTGACATTAGAAGAAACTGTCTCCCCTCACATAACAATTTATATGGGATAAATTAAAAATAACTGCAGCTTTGTAGCTAAACACTTTTAGTTTTGAATATGCAAACAAACTTGAATGGTATTTCATCTACTGTATTTCTATATTTGAGAGAGTTTGTAGTTTGTGTCTGTGGTTTCTGTCTGTCCGTCCATTTGTGTGTGTTCAAGAACTCCTCCTAAACCAGGGTGGGGAACCTTTTTTGGGTTGGAGGCTGCTACCCACAAATTGGTCAGGGGTCGCACAAAGTGAGAAGGAAAACCCCCCCAAAAAACACTCTTTAATGCGGCCCCCAACTGAGCTAGAGAAAGACACTCACATTCTCCTCACACACCAGAGCCTATGTGGGCCCAGGCTACTAGATGTTGTGTGATCCAGTCCTGTGGAGGAGCAGGAACACCAGCACGGCATTCCCAATGCTGAGTGGGAGCACCAAGCATCAAGGGCTGGATCCAGGCAAGCTGGGGGTTGCATCTGACTCATGGGCCTTAGGGTCCCCACTCCTGTCCTAAACTATAAGAAGTAGGACCATCAAATTTGGTATGCAGCTTCCTCTTATAATAACTTAAAGCAAGGTAAGGATTTGGTTGTGCCAGGACAAAGGAATTTGCCTGGAATGTGATTTTTCTCATAAAATGAAAAGAGATAGTTTACTGTATAATGACCCAGTGGGGCAGCAAAGGGCCAGAGATGGCAACTGGGACAGCTGTAACCCTATTGGTGCAGCGGGGGACAGGAGTTGCAACTGGGACAGCTATCGACTATATATTTCGAGAATTTGTCTCTGTGTGTCTGTCTGTCCCCATCCCTGGGTGTGCCCACTGCAGCAGCCATGGACAGGCATTTCTCATCTGCTGTCAACCTGCTATGGTGAGAGAGGGCTGGGGTTGTCTCCTCTCCCCTGGGGCAGCCTACATACTAAATCCCTCATCCTCAGCCCCACCCTAGAGCAATGATTCAAATGAAAGAAAACAAAAACTAATCGAATGAATGAACCAAGCAATGCAGGG